TAGAAGACCAAACAAAGTAGTTTCTCTTTCACAACGAAACACAGCTTCTTCACGACATGGTGGCAGCAACAATACTACAGCGAGAATAAAAGTTACGCCTTCTTTCTAAAAAATCTCCTCATGCAATTTTAAAACATTTAGCTGTTATTTATAAAAAGACTAAATTTGTTAAGTGAACCTTTAAAGTTTAAGTGTGTAATTTCTGATTGATTATACTGTTATACTGGCACCAAATAAAAATGCTAAATTAATTATAGGTTTCCGAAATAGGTATTATTTATAAAATAATAGTGATAATAGAAGTGAATGTTTATTTATTTATGTATTTATTATTATTATTATTTTAAGAGTTATCACTGTGGCCATATCAAAATTCTTTGTTTCTTTTTTTTGACCAACTTGACGGTTCAATCATGCAACCAATATAGTGAGTTGTGGGCGGGGCTATCTGTTTAGCTGACCAATAGCAGATTGGAGCAGATCATTCAATATTTTTGCAACGCCATTTGGTGACATAAGCATTGTGCAGAAATTACAACATAAAGATTAAAGATAAAGATAAGATAAAGATAAATTTGCTGCTGAAATGTTTTAAGACTTGTGAAAGAAATAAACAAATTAAATGATTTAATCTTTAAAACCTTTAAAGGGGTCAAAGGATGCTTTTTTAAAGATCATTATTTTGTGTATTTGGTGTAACAGAATATGTTGACATGCTTTAATGTTCAAAAACAACATTATTTTTCAAATACTGTACATTATTGTAGGTCCTCTATGCCCCGCCTCTCTCAAACGCTTCGTTTTCTACAAAGTCCCTCCTTCCGACAAGCGCAGTCTGCTCTGATTGGCCAGCTGACCCAGTGCATTGTGATTGGCCGAACACCACAAGCACTCGTCGGAAATGAATCGTCTGCATACAGCAGGCATCTGATCTTTGAGTTGTGTAGGGTGAGGCCAGGGGCTGCAGATCGCTCCAGACTGCTCGCCAGTTCATTGATGTAAATGTTAAATAACATTGGGCTTAAGCAGCAGCCCTGTCTCACTCCACGCTCCTGGGAAAGATACTTTGTACGCTTGGTGCTGATCTTTGCGCCACATTTACTTTCAGTGTACATTGATTTGATAAGCTCATAGGTTTTACCTCCTATGCCACTTTCAATAAGTTTGTAGAATAGTCCTTGGTGCCAAATTGAGTCAAAAGCTTTTTTAAAGTCAATAAAGCATGCATATATTTTACCTTTATCTTGGTTAACATGTTTTTCAATTAGAGTATGTAATGTATAGATGTGATAAAATATACGGTAATTTGGTAAAAATCCGATTTGGCTTCTGCTCAGTACATTGTGTGTGGTGATGAAGTCTAATAGTCGAGCGTTTATTATGCTACAGAATAACTTTCCCAGGTTGCTGCTCACACAGATGCCTCTGTAGTTGTTAGGATCAAATTGATCTCCGTTTTTAAAGATTGGTGTTATCAAGCCTTGATTCCAGATGTCAGGGAAGTAACCATGCGTTATTTGTTGTGTGCCGGTGCACGTGTAGTATATTTTTACAGAGTTCTGCATGCAGGGTCTCGATCGGATGTTTTTCCCATTTGGTGAAACTTTGATTGGGATTTGTCAGTGGACCCCACACCTCACTGCCATAGAGGGCAATGGGCTCAATTACTGATTCTAATATTTTCAGCCAAATTCTAATGGGGATCTCTATAGGACATTGCCGTTTGATGGCGTAGAAGGCCCTGCGTGCTTTATCTCTCAGTTCATTCACAGCATGATTAAAGTTTCCCGTGGATGTGATTTTCAAACCCAGGTAGTTGTAGTGTGATGTGTGTGTTATCTGCTGAGTGCCTAATGTAAATGTGTGTGGTGTTCCCTGGGATCTGGATCTTTTCTGAAAGATCATAATTCTGGTTTTCTTCAGGTTGACTGTCAGAGCCCAGGTCTGGCAGTATTGCTGTAGCAGGTCCATGTTCTGCTGTAAAGCGTGTTGAGTGGGAGACAGCAGAAGCAGGTCGTCTGCATACAGCAGGCATCTGATCTGTGAGGTGTGTAGGGTGAGGCCAGGGGCTGCAGATCGCTCCAGACTGCTCGCCAGTTCATTGATGTAGATGTTAAATAGCATTGGGCTTAAGCAGCAGCCCTGTCTCACTCCACGCTCCTGGGAAAGATACCTCGTACGTTTGGTGCTGATTTTTACGCCACATTTACTTTCAGTGTACATTGATTTGATAAGGTCATAGGTTTTACCTCCTATGCCACTTTCAATAAGTTTGTAGAATAGTCCTTGGTGCCAAATTGAGTCAAAAGCTTTTTTAAAGTCAATAAAGCATGCATATATTTTACCTTTATCTTGGTTAACATGTTTTTCAATTAGAGTATGTAATGTATAGATGTGATCAGATGTACGGTAATTTGGTAAAAATCCGATTTGGCTTCTGCTCAGTACATTGTGTGTGGTGATGAAGTCTAATAGTCGAGCGTTTATTATGCTACAGAATAACGTTCCCAGGTTGCTGCTCACACAGATGCCTCTGTAGTTGTTAGGATCAAATTGATCTCCGTTTTTAAAGATTGGTGTTATCAAGCCTTGATTCCAGATGTCAGGGAAGTAACCTACACTCAGAAGCACATTGAATAGTTTTAGAATGGCCAATTGGAATTTACTACTTGTGTGTTTTATCATTTCGTTTAATATCTCATCAGGTCCAGATGCTTTTTTGAGTTGGAGTTTTTTGATTTTTTTTCTTTAAGTTCTTTATCAGTTATTGGGAAATCTAATGGGTTTTGGTTATCTTTGATTGCTAATTCTAGTTTTTCCAGTTGGTTGATTGTTTGATTTTGCTTACAGTTTGTGTCTGTTTGTACTTTATTAAACAATGTTTGGAAATTACTTTCCCATATTTCTCCATTTTGTATAGCCAATTCTTCATGATCAGTTTTTCTCAGATTGTTCTAATTTTCCCAAAATTGGTTTGTGTTCACTGACTTCTCAATTATTTGAGCCCATATCAGCCCATCTATATGGCTTTCTGATGTTGTACAGCTTACTGGTCTTTGTGTTAAAGCTATTTTCTGTCTTTTTGAGATGCACAGTGATTTGACTGTGATCAGACAGAGGGGTTAGTTCTCTAACAGTGAATGATCTGCGAGATGAAGTATCTATGTCTCTTATCATATAATCAACTGTGCTGTTCCCCAGAGGTGAGCAAAATGTGAATCTCCCTAAAGTGTCTCCTCGTAACCTACCGTTGATGATATACAGACCCAGGCTTCGACAGAGCTGCAGGAGGACTTTTCCATTCTTATTTACTATAGCATCATGGTTATTTTTGTGGATATGGGAGAATGTGTTATTAATAGCAGACAGTTTGTTGTTGATATATTTGCTCCCCTGTGCATCGGTGAAGTCCGGCTGTAGTCCTGTTCTTGCGTTCCGGTCCCCGCAGATGAGCACGTTTCCCTGGGCCTGGAAGTGGCTTGTCTCTTCTTCTAATGTGGAGAACATGTCTTCACTGTAGTAGGGGGACTCTGATGGCGGGATGTATATGGCACACAGGAATATATATTTTCTGGATGGGAGCAGTTCCTTGTGGATTTTAAGCCAGGTGTAGTATTTGCCTTGCTTTACTGTGTTGATGTTGTTGTGGAATTGTGATTTGTACCAGATGATTTGTCCTCTGAGTCTCTTCCCTGTCGGACTGTGTTGAGTTTTTGTGATGGTAGGATGATTTCTCTGTAGTTGGGTGGGCAGCGGGTGATGGTTTCTGCCCTGCTCCATGTCTCCTGTAGAATTATAATATCCATCTCTTTGATGCTCTTCTGAAATTCTGTGTTTGAACTCTTTAGTCCAAAGGCTACTCGGCTACTGCCCTTCGCTGCTCGTAAGTCGTTGGTCCCTGTGTGGATTATGATGTGCTTGTTTCATTCAGATTTTTATCAGATAAGATCTGAAGAGCCTTGCTGGTATTTGGGCACCACATTTTCTGTGCTTTCATTTTTGGAAACAAGAGTTTCTCATTTATATATTTTCCGTTGGAGTTGATGAGAATAAGAGCTTCTGTTTGGGTGGGGTTGTGTGGAGCTGTGTGGTGGGCTCTCTCTCTCGCACGCTCGCTTGCGCACACACACACACACAAACACACACACACACACACGATGCGCAAAACTCCGCATTTGAACAGTCAATAGCAAATACTTAAACTAATAACAAAACAGTAACTGATTCAGAAGCGCAGATTGTCATAGCAAAGTCAGAATTACCTTCTCTCCTAGGTTCACGCAACAGTCATCCATAAAATGCATTGCTGTTCTGTTGTAAGTAATCTTAAAGATTCCTAATGCATCTACTTTCGGAAGGCCAAATAAAGTACTTTTGCTTTCGCCTAGAAACACACAACGTCTCCCTGACATGGCTGCATCAACACTAACTGCGGTTACTGAAACCACACCTTCTTTCTTTGCGTGCACATTTGGGCGGCATTATGCAAATATTTCCACATATTGAGGTTGATATGTGGGGGCGTGTTAGAACGAGCCATTTTAGGGGGGCGTGGCAGAGTCTTAACTTTGATAAAAAAATATCTTTTTGGTTTTGAGACTTTAGTCTTTGCAACTTCAGGGATCTTATCTATGCACAATCAGCTTGTAACACTCCAAAGAGAAAGGAAAACTTGAAATCGCATCATATGACCCCTTTAATGCAGTGTTCACATCCGAGTATGTAGTGCAACCACAATGACTTGTCTCACCTGTTGCAGGTGAGCTGATGTGAATTCCTCTCATACTCGAGCAATAATCAGACTGACTACTGAACTGAAAGAGAAAAAGATTCAACTACAAGACGAGAATGAATCAACGAAAGGTTGTCTGTTTAATTTTTTTTAAGTAGGTCTAAAATTATTTATATATATATATATATACGTGTTTCTTTCACTTTTACCTTTCTTTCTTTCTTTCTTTCCATCGTATTCTCTTGTCAGGTAAATACAATTAAGTTTAAGTGGGCGTTACAGAGGTCGCGTTCTTGCATGATGCATCTCTTGGACTTTGCGTCGCGTCTCGCTGAGCGTTTTTAAACAATCAAGTAAAAAGAACATTTCAAATTTGTTTCCACTTGAAACATTTCAGTAGCATGTTTCGAACCGCTTAACGACGTGCTAGTATGTAAACATCTCATACTAAAGTCCCCCACCGGGACTCTTTCAGTTCCCCTTTAAACAACTTTAAACCCGCCTCAGAAAACCACCAGCAGCTTCACTTCCACTTTACGGAACTAAACTCTGTCTGTCTCTGTCTGTGAGCGTCTGAAGAGCTCTGAATCCCGCATCATCCAGCATGTCTCTCCCGCAACAGCTGCGCGATGAAAGGTGAGCGAAATCATGTCTTTGTAATTATTTACTCATGAATTATTTAGACATGAGTCGCTTTCAGGGCGTAGTGTGTGTGTACTATTTAGTTTAACTTGTAGCTATACTTTAAATATGCTGTGGTATAGTTACTATAATACAATGTTCAGTAGTACAGTACATGGTTGTAGGTTGTAGTATACTATGAAACTAAATAGACTACTTAGTCTAGTGTAGTTCACTCAACATATAGACTAGTCCACCATGTGTCATACTATACTATGTACAGTAGGCCTACTAACCACATTAAAAAACAACAATTAATGAATCTGTAACTTTGAGTAGTTGAACGTTTTCAATATTTAATACAAGATTGTGACAATGATGATTACTCAGAAAATTATTGAAATGTATCACATAAATTAAAAAGAAAAAGTAAATTGTGGGTCAGAAACTTTATTTTAAAACTTTGATATATCCACATAGAAAAGTATTCTCATCTCAGAAAGTATAATTTAGACAACTATGAAACATTTGATTTCTGATTATTATTATTGTTAATAATAATAAAAGTGCCTTAACAAAAAAACTAAACAAAACAAATAAATATATATATGTAAATTATGTGTACACATATAACACATATTTTAAGGTCATATTTTCTGTGCTAATCAAAATGTTTGTAACATTTGTTCACCGGACAGTGATTTCGACCAGCTTCCAGACAACATCCCGGTCACTGCAACCATTGCTGATATTGAGGAGAAGAAAGGTTTCATTGTTTACTGTGTGAGTTTCCCCAGACCTGAACCCCTGTCGTTGACCTTTCCTCTAGTCTGCCTGTCTTCTATAATTTGTCTGCCTTATAGACTGCCTATTACCTGTGATTTATGTTTAACCAACAGCCACAAAATACTAGATGTTTGACATGCCAGTCTTAAATATTTTTTAATTGTTTGTCTGTGTACACGCCTGTCAGATTGGCGTCTTCTGCCATTGTGTCACTCTCAATGTTTTTACATTTCTTACACTACTACATACCTTAGTCTTTGATTTGTTTGTTCTTTATCACCTTTTTACAGAGGTTCGTGATTGAGGTGAAGACCAAAGGCAACAGTAAATACCTGATCTACAGAAGGTATCGTCAGTTCTTCACTCTGCACCAGAGTTTGGAGCTTAAATACTCAGCTGAAGCCCAGCCGGGATACTACATCTGCCAACTACCTACTCTGCCAGGTCTGTGACTAAGCCGCTGTTGCACAGTCTCAACTAAAACAACAGCAATATAGAGCTCTGGGGAAATCTAGGTTCAGTAGCACAGGCCTCATACACACTGCAGCTAAATATGGTTGTCATGTCACTACTGTAAGCGCTTAATCCCATTTGGAGCAACAGCCACATAAGTACTAAATTCAACTCCCCGAAAGCTCAGGTAGTGACAACTGAAGTTTAATTAAATTTTTGCAGTATGGGAACTGAACAACAAGTTGGTTAGATATGGGTATGGGTCACCATACTTGGCCACACATCACTTCACTTCACTAGATGCATTGCGTAAATTGGCATAGTCCATGAAAGTTCTTGCTTAAGGTTCACCGCACAACCAGAGCTAGTGGAATTAGTTTCCACAACCTTCAGCAAGGCCATGAACTTATTACAGGATCAGTACACCTTAAGCAGGGTTGTCCAATCCTGCTCCTGGAGGGCCACTCTTCTACAACCTGCTCCAACCCACCTGCCTGGAAGTTTATAGCAATTCTGAAGATCTTGAATATCTGGTTCAGGTGTGTTTGCTTAGGGTTGGTGCTAAACTCTGCAGAAATGTGGCCCTCTAGGATCAGGATTGGACACTCCCACCTTTGAACAACCTGAGGTCAAGTGCCTCGCATAAGAGCGCAATGATCATTACTTGGATTGTCACCAAACTGACGGCAGCCAAAAGTCATCTCTCTGACAATCTGACCCAAGTCCCAAAACTCGACATTCAACACTGAATAACGTTCGACAAGGATGACGAAGCACAGGTACTGTCAAGATGAAAGCAGAAGAAACAAGTACGACCAGATAGATAAGATTTGTGAGGCCATAACTTCAACCCATCAGCTAATGATCACCTGGATGAGGATGATTCCTCAGGAATTTAGGTGTGTGGAGCTCAGAAAAATCAAAGAAGATGTTCAAAAAACAATAATAGGCTAGATCAGGGGTGCCATATCCTGCTCCTGGAGGGCCACTGTCCTGCAGAGTTTAGCTTCAAGCCCCATTGAACACACATGAATCATGGTAAACAAGGTCACCAGGATTACTAGAATCTTCCAGGCAGGTAAGTTGGGACAAGTTGGAGCTGAACTCTGCAGGACGTTGACCCTCCAGGGCCAGGATTGGACACTCCAGGGCTAGACGTAGGAACCAACTGTACGTTTGTAGAAAGGATCTCAAAACACCAGATCATGGATCACACCCTGTGGGAGCCTTTAGACTTAATCACTACACCATCTTCTTCTGTTCCACACCCCGTTGTAATCAGTTGCCATGTATGTTAATTCTCTCCAATGCTGTTCTTCCAGTGTCAAAGTTCACTCCTTAGGAGGACTTTGTCCTTTGAGTACTTAAAGTGTTTCCCACAGAGTTACTGATTAACTAGCACTTCTATGATTGGGAGGAAGAACAGCAGAGACAGATGAAGAGGATAATATTGCATTGTCAGGAAAATGAGATGAGTAGCATCCTTTCGACTGACACCATTGTCTGTCCCTTCTTGCCCTCATCTACTTCCTCTTTATCTATTCACACACAAATATTTGCATGCACAAGGAAATACAGATTTCAAATTTGTTTGAATTTGTTTGCAAGGTCCCAAATGTCTGAGACTGCCTGAGAATTGACAGAACCCAACATCATCACCAGTCAAATTTTAAATGCAATGTGAACCAGTACTTGCTTGAGCACCAGCCCTATAGAAGAAGTAATAACGTCATCTACGTCATCGTAGTAGTGTTGTCTACTCTTGTTTCATTCTCTAGTCTCTAATGTCTTTAACCTCTTCTCTGATCCCTTTTTAATCAGCCTTATGTCTCAGCTCTCTCGCTGTCTCTTTCTCTGTCTCGTTCTTTTTCCCTGTCTGTCCCCTTCTCCGTCTTTGACCAAACAAGTATGTGTATAATTGAATTCAGCAGGAAGGAGAGGTCGTTCTTTGGCACCCTACCCACTGTTTCATTAAGGTCACCTAAAGACTGCAATCCGACGGGCTTCGGTGTCTCTCCATGACTTTCCACCAAAGCTTCTTCAAAGCTTCCTGCCAGCTAAACCTTAACCCAGTGGAGCCAAGTTAAATCAAGCCCAATTATATTACAAATTAGCCTTAGATGTTACTGTCTTCATGACAATTGATTGCTCGAGCCAATGAGTAATATGCATTGATTATGCAATGGAAAGATAATTGGCAAGTTTATATGAGAACATTAGCAATGTCTGCTCTGATGCGCTATAAAGGGATGTCTCCTTGCTTTGCTCGTACCATTCAGATCTCACTAATGTTTATTTAATGCAGATTTATAATAAAGAAGCTTATTAGAAAAGACAGAAAGTGAAGAGAATTAGAAGGAGATTACTTTAAGATTAAAGGGAATTATTGCATAACTATTAAAATTATGTTAAAATTGAATTCAAACCAACTTATATGAATGGATCCATCTTCGTTTTTTTTCTTCTGCTCCCATTCGGATCCCATAAAGTGCCTTGCGTTAATGACAGACCTCTCATCGTTGTTCACTGTGCGCATTATTAACATTTCCATTGGGTGAAATCAAAAATACAAATGAGAAAGTAATTTAGTGTAATATTTGGGCACACATTACGCTAAGCGCTAATTAGCGTTAGCAGTAAAGAGATTCAGAGGCACCCTTCAGCTAGCTTTTGATTGTTTAGTTTACAAACTAATTTGTTTTGAGACATAAATACTTATATCTGCCACTTGTTTGATTTGCCACAGGTAAGGTGTTTATGGGAAACAAAAAGGAGATCGCAGAGAGCAGAATCCCAGAGCTCAACAATTACATGAAGGTGAGTCAGTCTTGAAATTTTGTAGTTTTCAGTTTTATCACAGTCATGTTGTATTGGTAGGAGCTGTGTTTGGTAATTGTTGCACTCGTGTGTTTTGGGGGTTGTAATCTTTGCAGTACGAACAGCACTGTGAAAACAGTTCCTCTTTTTGTTACTTCTCTTTTTTTATTTTTTTATTTTATTTTAAAAAAAAATTTGGATTCAATGACAGACAGTCAAAACTAAATTAAAAAGGGTGATTCTTCAACTATGGGAACTTTTGAGCCTGTGTACTTTAAGAAAATAAACTTTTTACATTCTTACTGATTTAATTTGTAGATATAAAGCACATATACATGCAAATGGAGAATTACGCCATTTGTTCTTTTTTCTAAAAATCATGGAAATTCCCGCCACAGTGTAGTTTTCATCACATCTCAAATGGCATTTTCTGTCCAATAGCATTCAATACTATATTTAAATATGACATTTATCTAAAAAAAAACCCCCATTTGATTTCATTTCCAGTGAAAAACATCCTACTAAACAAGTCTAAACTCCCTCTCTGTTCTTTAGAGGTTGCTTTGTCTGCCTACCTGGGTACTCTTGGACGATCTGATACGGATGTTTTTCTACCAGACCGAGTTGGATAGCCAACAGGTCCCCCGGGCCCTGCGCCGCCTGCGGCCCCCCACACGCAAAGTGTATGAGCCTACCCACAATCTCTCATTTCTCCTTCCAGCACTTCACTGCATACTTTTACAGGATCCTGCTGTTCTGCTAACTTTCTGCTGCCATTATTCAATAGAAAACTTTTGTGGCTTTGTCAGTCACGTCTTTCCGTAAGGAAGACAAACCACAAAGGAGATGCATTTAATTTCTTGTTTAATGTGATTAAATAGATAGCAAATGGAGAATTTAGTTGCTTCTGTGTCTATAAGAGCTCAATAATGTCTCAAAGTAAGTGGTTTGACAAGGTCCAAATCAAATGTCTTGAATGGTT